TGTCTATTTGGATTGGATGGCTGAAAAATATTAATCAAATGGCGGCAAATGTTAATTTCCCTTTTCTCTTCATATCATGTATTTTCAAATCAATTTTCAGAGTACTCATTTCCACACCCTTTCTACCAAATTATGCCCCCGTGAAGTTCTATTTTGGCTTGTCAAAGGCCCTAGTCTTTTTGAGACTCATTCTCTCGCACATGCATTGTCTGAACACTCCCGCCTGTTTTTTTTGGTATTTCAGTAGGGAAGACAGATCCTTTTTTTTTTTTTAAATGGTTTAGGGGTTAGTTTTTCTAATGTGTTAATAAGATGATGTCAGTGAAAATGAAAACAACAAAATGATGACTTGGGTGTAGGGGTGCTACCACCCCAACCCGAGCCCCTTGCCCTCTTAGTCTGGTTTTTCAAATGCAGTGACAATAAGAAGCCTGGGAGGACTACATTGAAAATTGCAAGGGCTGAAACTCACAGAAGTTTATAGAACGAGTATTTCATGGAGATTTGATTAACGTCGTTAGTTGGTGCATAGGAGAGTGCAGAATTCCTTCAAGCCTAACCCGAGTGTTTGGTGAAACTAGAGATCTATGCAGTGACAGAAATACGGAATTCCGGCAATACTTACGGGGACCTCTTGGAACTAGGGCTATTAACAGGCGGGTTTGTTTCGCCCAGCCCGCCCAAGCCTGAGCCCGGGCTTAAATCATGTTAGACATCGCAGCCTGAAAATTAGATTTCAGAGCCCGAATTTGTGAGAACGCCCCAAAATGGGAAAAAAAAACGTTCAGCCCAGGTACGGGCTAGCCTTGGCCCGGCCACCTCAGGCTTGTTAACAGCCCTACTTTGAAAATTTTTGACACTAAATAGGTTTTGATGTGTTCTATTGATACTTGTCATTTTTTTTTTTTTTTTTCATTGATATGTTAATGGTAGGAATGGAGGGTGGGACGTTATGTTGACGCACAGACCCAATACAAAATGTCCATGCATCCGTATCTTGTGCATGTTCCATTAATGGATGCTGGATGTCTCATTGTTAATGTTCAGAAAACAAAGTAAAGCACAAACAAGTTCTCTATCTCAATCTTCAATCCGTGAATGCATGAATATATGATATACCCATAATTCTTTTATAACTAAATAGCTAAAGGAAAAAGTTTATATAAGGTTGAGGCCCCAAACAATCAAATAAAAGAGTACCTCAAAAAGTCATTAGAAGAAGTTTTGATGTCAACAAAACCCTCAAATCGATCATCTTGATCTCGAGATGTATAATCATGAAAAAAATAGATTTAAAGTCTTGAAACTATTGCATCTTGAAATATATTGTCGGGGCAGCCAATTTTCATTATTTTCAAATATTTATAGATCTATTCAACCTACACTATTTTTTGAAACTTTGAATTTTATAATTAAATATGAAAATAACTTTTCAGGCCATCACATGGTTTTTTGCTACTGAGAAATCATCTTTAGATACTATTAAGAGGTATACTTTTGATTGTTTAATGCCTCAGCCTTTTACAAACTACACCCATCGCTAAATACCGGAATACTTTTGATTGTTTAATGCCTCAGCCTTTTACAAACTACACCCATCGCTAAATACCGGAATTGATTAACCAAACAAGAAAAAGGCCCAAAATAGCTTGGTTGGGTTTTCTGTTACAAACTTCAAGTCCCTCACCTGAACTGATACATCTTCCGCAAAGCTGGAGCTTGAAACAAATCAAGCAAATCAATATCAACCATTATGAATCACAAGCCACATGATGTTGCACAACTGCCCCACAGTAGGGTTGTAAAAAAGAGATGCAATCTGTCTTAGTTTTTTATTAATGAAAAACGGGTAAAAGGCTTTCCCCCTAACTGATTTACTAAAAAAAGAATTAAAAGCAATCGATATCAGCCATTGTGAACCAAAAGCCACATGCACAAAAAACATACAAATGGAAGAGAGAAAGAAAACCACAGTTCACAGAACTCTTAGGCAGGAACCTCCTTCTAATTGTGAAAGCTAAAGCTTATAAGCCATCCTCAAAATTAAATCTTTTAGAAAGAGAGGGAGGTAGTACAGAATAGAGGCCACTGTGGAGTACCCACCATAAATGAACCAAGCTGGAGGGTTTTTCTTTAGAACAGTGAGAACGGTCTTCCTTGCAAACTCTTCAGTTGGAGTTGATTTCTGGCCTTGAGATAACATGGTTCTCTCTCTAACATCTCCTTCAAATGGTTTATACAGCTTTAGCTCAGGCATTTGAGCATAACTGATCAGTGCATTTTCCCCAATATTCGACTTAATTGCCCCTGGTACGACCAATATTACATCGATTCCAAAAATCTTCAACTCCAATCTGCAAGTACATAGCAATATCAAATAATTTTGGGTAGTTTTCCTTTTTCTTAAATACTAAAACAGAGTGACTTACTCAATACTTGAGAGCTGATACATTGAAAAAGGAAAAATTAAATGGAAACCCAAAATTCATTAAACCGTACCAACCGGTTCATTTTGGTTTCAATTGACAGTTAAGTAGTTAACATGTTAATGTTAAGCCGTATAATTCATGTGAAGAAGTGCAATGCGTTTTAAGGCATTTCAACTCGTGATGATTTAAACCAGTTTTAAGGCATTTCAACTCTTGATGATTTAAATATGTTTCAAGGCATTTCAACTCTTGATTATTTAAACCAGTTTTAAGGCATTTCAACTATTGATGATTTAAACCAATGTTCAAAAAAACGCTGCTCCGATCCGGATCGGGTATTGAGAACAAACATGCCGTTTCGATCCGGAACAGGTAGATCCGGATAGGGTATCATGTGGGTCGTTCCGGATCCAGCTATAAAACAGGATCCGGCCGTGTGGTACTGACGAAGGTTTTATTCACATCAAACTTCTTTCATTTTATCGATGTGGGATTTGAGCATGAAACTATTGTGATTAAAAGGTAATACAATATAAGCTTATATGCTTTTATTCATGTGAATAATACAACAAGCGGGCATGTGGTGTAGTTGGTTATCACGTCCTTCTTACACATTGAAGCTGCGATTATTGTAAGCTTAAATTAGATATGTAAAGGTAATACAATGAAGGCTTGGAGCATATTAGCTCTTTTTATCTAGAAACCTAAAATATTAGATTTTTGAAAAATTAAAGTGTTATTTCGAAAATTGGTACACATTCAAATAATTTCTACAATGATAATCAAATCTTATATTTAATTTATTAATTTTATTTGTATTATAAATTATGTAATGTACTATTTTATTTCTTACAGTTGTCAATAATATATTTTAAATTAGATGATATTATAAGATATTTTGGATTTGTTATATTTGTATAGTAAAATAATTATAAAATGTAAACCAACATCTATAATATTATAGTTAGTTAGATTGTAATAAGTTTGAATTATAGTTAGTTAAGTTGTAATAATTTGGTTTTTTTTAGCGGATTAGGGTTTTCCGCCAATTCGAGATTTTGGTGGCCATTTTTTTATCGATTTAATCCATTATTTATTGTAGTCTATGTATGATTATATACTTTATCCATGATAGTTTTGTGATTTTTCTTTTGTGTGATGTAAATTTAATGGTTAACATTAGTTCATACAGGGAAAAAAAATCGCAATAGTTGAAAAAAAATGAAAGTTAATAATGTAGTACCCTCATTTCTTATTGGCTTCCTAAAAAACAACATTTATAATGATTTTTAATAAATTTTTTGGATTTTTTTATTGTCGAATTCGACCAATTCCCGATCTGAACTGCCGATTCACCGATCCGGATAGGTTTTTGGGGTGCCCGATCCAGGGCACCAATCCATTTTTTAAACCACTGATTTAAACAAAAAGAAAAAAAAAAAAGGGCATATCAATTCTTGCCAAGGGAGCACAAGTTTTTTTCCTAGACATAATTTAAGGGAAATTTATCAAAATCCACTTTAAGAGATAAAGCTATTTGACAAGATAATCCATTTCTTTTGATCAACCTTCTTTAATTTGGCTCAGGCCTCAGACTCGGCCCTGTCCTGAGCCGAGTAACTTGGTTGAGTAGTGTCTAGGCCCAAAAGGCCCAAAATATTTTAAACAAAAAAACAAAGTATTGCTAAAAAATAAAGAAAAAATTTCAATAGTGAAACAAATCTAAGAAAACCAAACATAAAAGATCCAAATAAGCTAAAATAAAAATAAAAAATGGATTCAGAAAAAATTAACTATCAGTTGGAGACATTTCATGAAATCCCAAAAAAGAAGAAAATACAAAATAGTTTTTTTTTTGTATTTTACCAAGAAATGCTCACAAATCATAGTAAAAGAATCCAAATTTAATTATAAATAGGGCATTTAGCAAGAAATGCTCACAAATCATAGTAAAAGAATACAAATTAAATTATAATTTCTTTGCATTGATACTACAAATTTATATAATTTTATTTTCTTTTTATTTTTTTGAATAAGCCCGAGTTGTATCCTGGTACTTGGTTCGGCCAAGGGCCAACTTAGAGTAACTCAACCAAGCCCAAGTGGACTAGGAAGAGTTCAATTTAATTTGAAAAGTCCCATCACAATACAGGTCAAGTGTTGGAATTGTCGAGAATCGTAAAATGTTAAGTAATTGTTAAAATTATATATTTTGATAAATTTCCTATAATTTGATAACCACTTCCTAGAACCAAAATCGTAATTTTTTCATCTCAAAAATTTCAAAAGGCCAAAAGCGATTTTGTTTCTAATCTAATAGTTAAGAAAATAACCCTTGCTCCTTAAGAAATGCTAATAAATATTAAATCCTAATTGCTTATCTTTTGAAAAATAAACTTCCAGTTCTGCCTTACGACTCCCTTAAAATAATAACAATAATTAAAAAAAAAAATCTTGACCTTGAAAGAATAATAGAAACCCAAATAACTCCAAACCTAAATTCTAAAAAGGGTGCAGTTTGCATATATACGCATCCGTAGGTGTATAGGTAAGGTGCACCTTCAAATTTTATCATGGTATATAATTTTGATGTAAAATGTTCTTAGGATTATCTCAAAATCTATTTTTGTATCTAATTATAAAATTTTAAATTACAAAAATAGTTAAAATCAAGTAGATCTATAAACATATGAAAATCTTGAAAATGGACGGTGTAGATAATAGTTGTAAAATGCACTATTTCTAAGGCTTAAAATCTTTTAATTTTTTCATAGTCATACATCTCGATATCGAGATGATCAATCAAAGGGTTTTTCAACATTAAAACTGCCTTTTCCGATGGATTTTTGAGGGGCATCCGTAGTTTTACATTATTAGGTAGCATCCTTATATAAACTTCTTCCTTCTGAAAAATGATAAAACTCGTGACATTAAAGTTCGATGCAAGCTATGAAACCAAAAAATTTCCATCAAAATTAATGTTCTGAAATGATGTTTCAACCAGGAAAGGAAACAATCAGCCAAAATAGGGAACTTGAGGATTACTAACAAAGTCACATCTTGTTTTAAAATTCTAAGATGAATTGCTTGAAGTATGTAGGAATTCCAATGGGATATTCACTATAAATTGAAATGATTTCGGCCAATTGGGAACCCAATGGGCGACCTATTCATGCTCAACAAAAAAATACCACGTAAAGGGCTGATTAAAAAAAATAACCCTAGTAGTAGCACCCCCATACCTACTCGCCACCACGTCGTGGTTTCCATTCACATCACCCCACTAATAAACCTAACTCCTAAATTATCTAAAAAAACCGATAAAGGTCGGTCGTCCCAACTGAATTACTAAAAAATAAAATAAAATAATCATATAAGCCCGTAGATTATGTAGCCTACTTACGGAAAAAAAATCATAGAAGCCCGTGCATTATGTAGCCTAATTACGAAAAGTATCTGATTTACCCAATATATATATATATATATATATATATATATATATATATAAGCCCGTGGATTATGTAGCCTGCTTACCGGATATTTTCCTTCTAAAAAGTGTAAGGGCTCAAAGTCCCGTACAATGGGGGTGAATCCCAATGAACAATTAAACATTGGAATTTTTACTGGCCAATTTTCATTTCACTATACCTCCTCAAAATATCTTAAAAATACCCAAGTTTCCCTTATTCAAGACCGATAATCTTAACAAATATGGGCATTCAATAACATTCACCTATCTTAAGAAATATAGGCATTAAGGAATATAGCTCTAAAAGCAATTTTCAACACCGACGATAAAATTTGAAACTCAAACAATAATATAGATCTTCCGGATTTGTCAACATTTATTTTTAAGGTGAAATGGATGGTCTAGATAATCTATAACAATATACACTATTTGTAGAGCTTGAAATTCTAATTTTTTTCACGACCATAACGTTCAAGATGATTGATGTAAAAGTTTTCCACTACTTGAATCACAATTTTGATGGGTTATAAGATGAGGCTTTTACTTATTCAACCCAATTTCCTTACTAGAGTGACCCTACGTGTTATATTAAAATGACCCTACTGGTTCCCTCAACAGGGCCAATTTGCCAATGATATTTGTTGGCACCCTTAACTATCTTGGAAGGAGGTCGTTACCCCTTAAATGCTATTTTCGCTAGAATTTATTTTTTATTTTTTATTTTTTTTAACATTAACTCCTCCTGCTAGAAAGTTTCATTCATGGTGGAATGTACTATACAAAGAAATCTAAAACCGAGCTCATCAAGAGCATACTATTTACCAAAAAAAAAGCATACGGCCATAAACTTCCCATTTACGCCAAGAGATATGATATCCCCCCAGGAGCATACTATTAACTTATATCTATGGTAAAAATCTAACGTTTTAGGACTTAAAAAGGATATAACCTCTTCAACCCCTAGAATATCTTCAATAAAAAAACAAGAAAAATTGTTTCATACGTGGAGACCATATTTCTAAATTTGCGGTCCTCAAAGTACAAAGCATTCATTTTAAAGATGGAGACAAATATATGGTCCTTTTAAAAACAATTGAAAGTAATAACCAAATGTTTCTTTATAGAATTATCATTTTAATGTTTAAAATTTTATTTATTTTATCATATTCATGATCTCTATATGTTTGGTCCAAAAATCCATTCTAAAATAGACTTTTAAGAAGTGACTCATTTCACATGGACTCATAAAAACCGTGTCCAAAAAACAAATTACAATTTCACTCTTTGTGCCCTTGAAAAAGATAATATATTGAACAAAGACCATCCTATTTTTAGTACGTGAGATCTAAGTGTTAGAAAAGTGAAAATTAAAATTCATTCTTTTCAAAATCATCATATTCTACCATAGTTTCTTAAATTTTAAATTGAAAAAAATACTCCCAAAAAAGGTCTTTTGCCCTTATCCTCCCGTCATTCCCAAAATTTCATATATTGAAAAAGAGGTGCGGTTCTATAAGGTCGCAACTTTAAACAATCCAATTAAAGCCCACCTCCAAATTTTATAATTTTGGTATAAAATTTTTTTAAGATCATTTAAAAATCTATTTTCACATTTAATTATAAAATTCCAAAAATACTTAAAATCAAGTAGATCTATAAATATATGAAAATCTTGAAAATGAGCTGTCTAAATAATTTGTTGCAAGATGAACTATTTTTTAAGACTCAAAATCTTTTTCCTTTTTTTTTTTCATTTTCATACATCTCGACATCAATTAAAGGGTTTTTCCAGTGGAATTTTTAGGTATATCTTTGATTCTACATTTGAAGGTTGCAACCTTATATAAACTTTTTCCTCTCCACTTTCATTACCTACTGCAATACCCTACAGCAAGGTTTTCTACCATAGGAGAAGAGAGGTAGATAAATGAGAGAGAGAGCGGATACCTCAATGTATCAGCCAAGGAGTGGATAGCAGCTTTGGAGGCGTTATATGAGCCACCCCAAGGTGGAGAGACGAGACCAGCAACGCTACCCATGTTCACAATCTTACCCTTTCGCCTAGCTGCCATGTGAGGGACCACCGCCTGTATAAGCCTCAAAGTTCCTGGTCACATTATTTTAGATTATTACCAGTAGAGAGAGAGTTTTCTCAAAAGAGAGAGAGAGAGAGAGAGAGAGAGAGTAGTAGTAGAGAGAG